TAAATGCATTCGTCCGAGATAAAGTCCAGTGTCTCCAGTGTCCGATTAGACCCTTTCATAACCTCATCAACTGATACAACGATGTAAAATAACGGATTAACAAACCTCGGCAAATGAACCTTGAACTTTACGCTTGGTAGTTTCGATGTATCGATTTGTGTCAACTCGGCTCCACGTCGTTGCAAACCGTAAACACACAAACGCGTTTAAAGGCGGGATGAACAAATAATTAGGTACTTTATAAATAATTACGCGGAGCGAATTATCGCCGGACTCTGCGGGGCGCGATGCGAGTTAAACCCCCGCTGCTGGTGGTGCATCGCGTCAGAATATTAAATTGGCACATCGAATGCCAGCCGCGGGATTGGATTCAAGTGGCTCAGGACACGGATCGGCGGCGGTCAATCGGGCAGGGAATTTCTTTGTGAGCTGAGCGACTGTTAGCTTGTCGAGTAGGCCTCTACTCCACGGAGTCGGTGTAAAAGTGCGAGGAAAATTTCTCTGCGACATTCTTTAGGGCGTCGTGTGCCAGTGAGGCAGAGGCAGAGGAGAAATCTCGTTTATGAACGTCGATTCCGTAAGAACATCTGTTATTTGGCAGGATCAGGTGATCGGAACATCTGCTAAAATGACTTCTGAAGTAAGAAAAGTCGCGTGTTGCCATGGAAACACGTAAAGGCGGTGTTTCAGCTCTTCAAAGCTGTGCAGTGCAGCTTACGTTCAGGCGCATGTCGTACGTCTGAATGCAGCCTCAATACGCTTTTCACGAAGGCATGAAAGGAACGCAAACAGGGCAGACGCCGCGTCCGTCTGTCCGAATGAGTCAACTCAGGAACAAAGGCGACCGCGGTTGTAACCTTCGGTCGGGGTGGGTTAGGACATGAAACGCAGGGACGTTCGATAAGACGAGCTTGGACAAATTCAGAAACCAAAATTTTCAAAGAACGCACGTGGAAATTTTGTGTGTGTTCCGGTACAAGCCACGCCTTCGCAGTATTGTTTTACAAGGACAGGAGATTTGTGACGTGAGGTTCGCCTCCCACATGACTCAGGGACCAACGATGACATTGGCTCAGACTATCTGGCGTCGGGAGATATGTTAACCAGTGAATAATACATCTTAAAGTATGTTGAAGGAAGCGGTCGTGGCCTGATTTAAACTGTAAGTTGCTTCTAGGGGCTGGAAAATACAACTAAAGCCCTCAGTCAGGATTACGCTAGGTTTCCGGGTTGAGACTTGAACCAGGGACCTCCGGAATGCATTGCGGTTGTGCCAGCAACTCGGCACAGTCAAAATCCATTACTTTGAACGATGGAAGTTACAAGTTAAGCACTACTGTGGGAAGAATCACGTAAAACAAGTGATTCATAACAACCTTATCGTCTGAGTCACGTCCTTCTTAAGTAAGTTTCTCACAAGTCAGGGCAGAAACAGAAGCGCACGCCTTGCTCGTGCGGCATCTTCTCTGCCTCTGCTGTGCTACGTGCAGTCTATACAGAGACATGCAGGCGCCCCGCGGCGGCCGGGCTAGCTCTGTTTCTCGTCTCTCCTCGTATTCTGTGCCGTCGTCACACCGACAACTCGCTCTACGTGAAGACCGTGAACTGTCTCTCTCGTCTCGTCCCTTTTCCTGCTGCGGAGGTCCTGCCTTCGATACTGTGGGCTATTCGAGTCAACTGTCTCTGGTATCGTGAGCAGTGACCTTGAAACCAGGGGGGGCTGTTTGAACGGGTCTGGACAATCTTCTGACTTAATTTCTATGCTATATATTTTTTGGGGGCCAGGGGGGGGGGAAGCCGCTTCTGCACCAGGGGCTATGTTCGTGTTGAGCTGCAGTCAAGAAGTACGGGGTTCGCTTCTCTGTGGGGATACCGGTGAATGGCCAGGTTAAACGTGGAAGGTTATCGCGTTCCCATAAAGGCCTAGTGCTACCATCTCATTTAACAACCAACAAACTTAGGTTTTGCTCATGAAATATATTCATGGCTTTCGTACGATTTTCAGAACAAACAGCGAATATCTCCTTAAACTATTGTGTGTGTTCCGGTACAAGCCACGCCTTCGCAGTATTGTTTTACAAGGACAGGAGATTTGTGACGTGAGGTTCGCCTCCCACATGACTCAGGGACCAACGATGACATTGGCTCAGACTATCTGGCGTCGGGAGATATGTTAACCAGTGAATAATACATCTTAAAGTATGTTGAAGGAAGCGGTCGTGGCCTGATTTAAACTGTAAGTTGCTTCTAGGGGCTGGAAAATACAACTAAAGCCCTCAGTCAGGATTACGCTAGGTTTCCGGGTTGAGACTTGAACCAGGGACCTCCGGAATGCATTGCGGTTGTGCCAGCAACTCGGCACAGTCAAAATCCATTACTTTGAACGATGGAAGTTACAAGTTAAGCACTACTGTGGGAAGAATCACGTAAAACAAGTGATTCATAACAACCTTATCGTCTGAGTCACGTCCTTCTTAAGTAAGTTTCTCACAAGTCAGGGCAGAAACAGAAGCGCACGCCTTGCTCGTGCGGCATCTTCTCTGCCTCTGCTGTGCTACGTGCAGTCTATACAGAGACATGCAGGCGCCCCGCGGCGGCCGGGCTAGCTCTGTTTCTCGTCTCTCCTCGTATTCTGTGCCGTCGTCACACCGACAACTCGCTCTACGTGAAGACCGTGAACTGTCTCTCTCGTCTCGTCCCTTTTCCTGCTGCGGAGGTCCTGCCTTCGATACTGTGGGCTATTCGAGTCAACTGTCTCTGGTATCGTGAGCAGTGACCTTGAAACCAGGGGGGGCTGTTTGAACGGGTCTGGACAATCTTCTGACTTAATTTCTATGCTATATATTTTTTGGGGGCCAGGGGGGGGGGAAAAACACATTCTATATCAAATCAAAATTCAGCCACCGAGACAGGATAAAGCTGTTTCCGCGTTGTGGGAGCGGAGCATCTGGTGTCCTCCGGAAAGCTGACAGCACCGCCCTCTGGAGGCGTACGTGAGACTGCCGCTGACACGTGTCATCTGCAGGGAAACATTAGTGCGCATGCCTCAATGATTAGAATCAATTGCTCGTTTTGACAATTCAAGCCGCTTCTGCACCAGGGGCTATGTTCGTGTTGAGCTGCAGTTTTCAACGAGAATCGGCTGGCAGTCAAGCAGTACGGGGTTCGCTTCTCTGTGGGGATACCGGCGCAGATGTCTAAAGAGTCCCAGTGAATAGCCAGGTTAAACGTGGAAGGTTATCGCGTTCCCATAAAGGCCTAGTGCTACCATCACATTTAACAAACAGCGAATATCTCCTTAAACTATATAAACAGCTGATCGTCGTGGAGACGCGTTGTAAGAGCTGGATGTTCTAAAGCTTCACGCTTCAAAGGGTTCACTGCTACCGGAGTATTATAGTTGCTGATTTCTGAAAAACCACGTCCTGCACTATACAAAGGCGGCTCACGAGTCACAAGACGCCAGGGTGAGAACCACCGCGTGTACACAAATTGCGCAGGCAAAGTTTGCTCGTATTTCAGTTTGTAATCGCCTGGAGTAGGTACTTCGCACTTGCAACGGCAGGTGCGACGTAATGAAGCGAAATACACCTGAGACTCGGCGGCAGCCAGCGACTTCCAAGTCTCTCTGTCTCTCTCTCGCCGTGTTCCCGGGTCAGCCCGAACTCGTGAACATAAACAATCGCTTCCCACACGCAACGGATTCTCGCGAAGTCTCACCGAAACTTGTCGACAGACAAAATCGGGATGCCGTCTCGACGCACGCGACGTTTCGGAAAGGAACTGCTCCAAACCCGAAGCTACGAGCCGGTAAGTTCGGTCAGCAACGTCATAAAGCCTTGAACTAATTAACAGTTACCCCTGCCATGGGGTGGAATGCTGATCCAGAACGCATTCTCGCCTCTGAAAGAAGTCACTCCCCGCACAGCGCACCCTGCACTGGGACTGTAGGACCGTCCTCGTGCAAGGGACTGGGAGGAACACGAGGTCGTTGTTGACGTTTTAAGGCTCTCGTAGAAACAGACCGACGTTTCAGAGCTTCTGTGTGATTACGGGTGCACAGTCACGCCAACGTTTGAGACGCCGGTACAGAAGAACGCCGTCTGCTTGTGCAACGAGCAGCGTTACCCAGGAACAAAATCCGGCAACTGTTACTAATCGGAGGTGGGTGGGCAGCTTCAAGCTCCAGTTGCATTGCCCCTGGGGTGGAGTTCCCACGGAACGTTTTTCTCGTCGCGGCGGGGGTGGTCTCACCTGTGACCTGGCACCACGGCTCATCCCCTGTGTCGACGGGTCGCAGAGTTTGATTGCCGTCCTCATAAAAAATCCCGCCGTCAGTCTCTGAGGTCCGTCTTAATGATCACATAAAAATAAATGAGATCCGTCGATTTTACGGGCTGGTCAAATTTGGCTCGTCGCTTTTGATAATGGCACTTAAACACTAGCTAAGCCGTAAATAAAACACCGCGCGTTGATTCGAAGCAAACACAAACGAGGGCTTGTGGACAGAGTCGGGTCCAGCCGCCTCACCTTCTCGTCCTGCATTTGATGTCAAATGGGAAGTTACTAAAGCAGAATTGTCGCTTTCGGAGCAAAAAGAATTCCTTCGGGCCTGCGTTCCGTTGCTCTCTGAGCGGGCATACAATGAACGAAACTGCTTCGCTCAGTGCAGACGAGTCAAATGTTTCTCCAAGCGATGTCTGCCTCAACGTCACCGCCAGAGACCGAAGTTAACGTGAGAGTTCCCTTGCATTTTTGTTGTTGTGACGTATAGAGTCAGGTCGCAAGTTCCACTGCTGCCAACTGCTAGAGTAAGACCCCTGCATCCAGGAACACCACAGCGTAACTCAGATACTCATAGAAACCATTCTCTCGTCGTCTTCCTCCATTTGTTATTTTGCTTTTACGAAAATCGAAATACGAAATTTGTATAATCCCTTGGACTGACCAGGTTTCAAGGTCATACGAGACAACAGGTAACAATTAAAGTTCTGTTGCAGCTGATCGTGGAGATTAACAGCCAGGTGGCGATGTTCCGGGACCTGCTGATTCATGTGGGTCAAACCCGAGACTGCCCCGAGCTCCGGGAGAAGATTCGCAAACTGAGGCGCACCCTGGTGGACGCATGTCGGCACACGAGCCAGCTGCTGCTGCCTCAGGTCCGCAGGTCAGTCCACTGAATTGCAGGGATCAGTCAGGAGAGTCGGCCTCAGGGCAGAGATTTGATCCTCGAGCACGGCTCCGCAGGCAATTTCCTCAAGCGAAGGATTTGGACGAAAGAGTGCGCGGTAGATCCGCTCTGGGTCCTTCGCTTGTGAAGCTTCATACACGTGTTGTCACGCGTCATTTTCATTGGCGTTCGTTAAATTTGCTCCCGCTTAGAATTCATCGCAGAAAAATATCTCGGGAACTTGTAAAGCTCTGCATCTACACGGACCTCGCTGATTTCCAGAAAACCACTAATTTAATAAGAGCGGCTTCTTGCACGCTCCTCGCATAAAGAGACGCCCTCATTACGTCGTCAATAATCTTCCATGAGACGCCCCGACCAAGATGGCGACCGCAATGTGACTGACAACTAGCAGCGTTTATGTAGGGTCCAGGAATGTTCCGAGGTTGGAAAACACGCGACTTATTTTCCGGGACTATTTTTGTATACTGTACCGTAGAAACACGGCGACCTCGTGACGTGTATGTTCGGTTTTACGTCTGATGGCTGTAACAAATGATCTGCCGGAGCGAGTCCATTAACGAACGTACGAAACACTTGTCATACGTTACAAATTACGAAAGCAGGGACGGGGGCGAATCTCGTGCGTCACATTTAACGGTGCACTAATGCAAAATTAGGCCCGTACACACGATTGGGCGACCTGACTATTGACACACATCACGTACTGGCCTCGCCGACAGATGAGTTCTTCCAGTTGAAGGGCGTCGTGCCCTTTGGGACGACCGACCGTTCCCTTACATTACCATAAAGTGAACCCCAGTGGCGGTAACAGCTTCGAATCTCGGTGTCTGCCGGGAGAGAGGGTCTACCTGACAACAAACACCGACCGCTTCATTCCTGATACCCGTGAGCAGTGTAGTTGATGCAGTGTCGTATAATGACCGCCTCCCCATGTGCCAGTGTTGCTCGTCGCCGCGCGCTGACAACTGACAAACGAGATGCGCATCGCTCAGTGCCAGCGAGCGTAACCACGGGGACGTTCATTGCGACCATTTGTCTCTCTCTCTCTCTCTCTCTTAAACCTCGCGATCGTTGGAACTATTCAAGACGACCGATTCAGCAATCTGCCACGACCGCTGATTTAGCCTCAAGCTGATGGTTATTCCGGAGGGAAAGAAATTCTCCCGACGTTTCCGGTGCATCACAGAGTTGACAATATCTTGATCCAAATGAATCCAATGAAAAACCTTTAATTCCCGGAAAATGCTTCGCTCATAACGCTTCATCAGGTGCTGAAGATCTGTAGCCTGGAATGCGGACGAGATTCGAGACACGCGGGCCGCGGGAGACGCACGGAGCTCTGTTTGAGGCGCCTACAAAGCTTCAAAACCGCTGAGCTGGTCGGTCGACTTGGCTGTCGCTTGTGGCTTCGAAGTACGGCGCAGTGCTCGGGGCGAACACGTGTGTCTGTGTGCACGTGCACTGCCCTAATCAGCTGTCACAGTCACGTGACAGGATCTATGACCGCGAGACGCGGGGGAGTTCTTAAAAACTTATAGTCGGCCAGCTGGTAAAAAAGTCTCATCCTCTAGCGTCGAGGCGGTTACGCTCCGCCCCCGCCCCCACTGACCGCCGACGCTTTGCTGTGGTGGGAACGCAGTGCTTAGCGGGCGGGCATAACGACTCCTTTGGACACGTCGAACAGGTCCAGCCCGCGGACAAGGGACCGGAAGTGACGTTAATTTGTAACGAGTAGACAAAGGTTTGAATGCAAAGTAGTTCCTTTGAGCGGGCAAAGGGACTGCAAGGTCAGATAGTACGGTACAGTGTTGCCAACTGCAGTGGAAGTCCCGATCATAAACGGGAGTAACACGAACACTTTGCGGGAAACCTCAAGAACGTGGCAATGAAGAAGTAATGCAAAGTGGGATCGTGCAGATTGGATTAAACTAGCTCAGGATACAGTCAGTCTGGAGGTGGGCGGTGATGGACCCTGGCCAGATGAGCGACTACCAGCAGGCCTGCTATTTATGTTGCCTATGATTCGTTTTGATATCAACCTCCTGACCTGAAGGCAACTTTTAATTTTGTCGGAGTCTGTATTGTCGCGGGACTCCATTGTCACGTAATGCTATTACCTCAAGACGTATCGAGTATCGGAGATTACTGCGAGAGATCGATGTGACGCGGAGCGATACATATCGCAGTGCTGCCATCATAACCAGGCGTTCTTCATTTTCCGGTCTGGGTCACTCATGTGGTTCACGAAGGGTTCGATAAAGACCAACTCCGCGGTGCTACGTCTTTGTCACGAAGCTGACAGTTGCACAGCTGGCCAGCTCACTAGTTGCGTCGCTGACCCCCTGAACGTTTGTAAGAGCCCACACAACGAGTGGTCATTTAACGCGTCGTATCCCCAGGAACCTGGAGGCCGCACGCGCTGACGAGGCCTTGGATCGACCTCCGTCTGTGACAAATGTCCATATCGCGGGCACAGTGGAGTACAGAGCAGTCAGTACGGGAACGAACACTGAACACGAAGGCGAGCCGACTGGCCCGTGTATCAATTGAGTTCCGAGATCATCTCACGAGATAAATGCAATTATATTACGCCCCAGTTATTGGAAATCAGGAGAATAAAGTATGAATGCTGCGCTGACCTGAACGTTGAGGTAGGCCACGACCACTTCCTCCCCTGCCGTGCTGTTCCTTATTCCGCGGAAGCGTGTTTACGCTGCATCAACTGAAACAGATCGATATTACAAACAGGCTGTTGCGTGACGATGTCACGCCGTCACCTCTATCACAGATGAACTTTTAATGCCAGTGGTAACTATATGTACCATAGGAGGCCACGCCTAGTAACGTAAACTAAATAAATCAACTTCACTTAAGCGCGAGTTACTGTCGACCAGCGTGATAACGCATGACAAGTCGTGACCTACTATAACGGCATGACGAGAGGTGACCACAAGTGTCGAACCGTGACAAAGATTTGCAAAGCGTGACTCGGCGTTAACCAAAGAGTGATTAAACGTGACCTTCTGTAACAGAGTGACGAGAGGTGACCATAAGTTTCGGAACGTGACGAATATTTAGGAAGAATTATGTAACCTAGCAACTAACCTAACCCATCCTAACTTAACCTTTACACACAGGCCACGACCCCTCAATCGATAAGCCTAATCGAATCCGGTACGGACGCAAAAGTCGTAACTGGCGTTCAAAATTCCGCAACTCAGTTCAGTGTGAACGACGCCAGCCATTTATCCGCGTTTATATTAATGGGCATCGCAAAGCTAAGGCAGTCGGTTACTTAGGTATTCAAAGGCGGTCTGATTGCCTGACGTTTAACAGTGGCGTGCGCCAAATCGGCTCGCGTGCCCGACAGACACACCGAGTCATAACGCGGCTACGTATCGACTACACGTTGACAGAGGGCGTTTCCTTCCATATCCTTCCCAATTCACTATCACCTTACCACCTGCTAAAAAGCCACTTTCTGGTTCTACGAGGCGTCCACGAGAAAACAGGCAAGGCCCGTGGTTCTTATTCCACGCCTGAACATCGTTCAGTAGTTTCTGGCTCGAAACTCGGTCACTACGCGCCCATGGTTTACGGAAATTGTCGAAGTTTGTTCCTGTGTGAGGATGGACGATCTTGCACGCACAGTTTGAACAAAAGAGATTCTTAAGAAGGAAACAAAACACAGACGTCATTAGGTCGCACGCCAGAGACTTCGACCGGCTGTTCACAACATCTCACAGTGGGTCACTCGACCTTTGTTTGGCGACGCTGTTAAAAAACGTTCTCTCAAATCACGACATCCCCGCCCAAAGCCCGGTTCACAATGAGACGAGCGTTGTAAGAAGAAAGCTGAGTCGCTGTCGCGCGACATTCCTGTCAGAAGACAATTAAGACGGGCAATTCCCTCTGTCTGCATGAAGGAGATGCTCGACGGCTACTCAACTACGCTGTGTGCAGACACATTTCTTTTCGGTGAGCCCCAGTTCAAATCTCTGCCCCCCGGTCTGAGGTGTCTCGCGGTGCACGCCGGGACTGTGCCTTCCTCCTTCCTCATCCTCTCCCGTCCACTAGTCGGAGCTACGGAAAGCGTGTGGTAACATTGCTCGCTGTTGTAGTGCCGTGGCTGACGGAATCCCCGCGGACAATCCCCACTTCGTTCTCCTGTTCTTCATCGCCCAGCTGTTCCTGAGGGAGCTCGCCAAGTGCCACCGGCTGGTGCAGGTCATCCCGATGGACATGTCCGGATACTACGGTAAGCAGCTGGCTCCGTCCTCCCAACAGAGGTCGCAGCAGGCGTAAGTCGAATCCTGAAGAAGGCCCGACCGTGCGCAGTGGAGCTGGACAGTCAAGGTCACTCTCTCGTCTCCCGTCCTTTCCATTCGACTGCACGCGCGCAAAGACTGCAGCAAATTGAGTTAGCAACTACAAGCACACGGGCAACGAAAATGAAATTAGTTTAAAAGTTAATAACAATAATGCATAACAGCGTAAACAAATTAGTTCCACGCGGGCCGACGGTCGACGAATGAAAGAATCGATAGCTAGCTGACTGTCGATGTTGGTGTCCTGGCTTGTAACGTAGCGCAGACATAATTCCATCTTTAGCCCTGAAGATGGAAGCACAATGTTCCTCTTTAACCCTGAAGATGGAAGCACAATGTTCCTCCGAAACACGGCGTCATAACCCGGAAGACCAACATCGATACGTCGAAGGAAAATTATCATTGCCGTCCATGTGACTTAAGAGTTGGTTCTCTTGTCTTTGGTGTTAACGTAAGAGAGGTTATGGAGGATAGGCAGCGGAATATGAACATGGCGCCCGCGCGAAACAAACTTCACGACAGAATGCATCAATGGAATGTCCCTCAGGGGTGGTAAAACCACGCGTCGCGCCTCGTCGAATAAACCGACGGCAATTATTGATCTAAGCGGTCGCCCGGATGGCAGCGCGCGTGCCTTAAGCACGTGTTTGGACCGAACAGGCGACATTGAAAATGGTCGTAGAACGTTGATTCTGAACATTACGAACAAGATGGACGCCGCACGACGTTTCAGAGATGCTTCCCGCCTCCATTCAGATTACCCTGACGGCGGAGGAAGTCAGTACCTCTGAAACGTCGGTGAAATTCTACCAGACCGCACGACGCAGCATCCCAGAGACGAGACGTCTTTACACGACTGGTCTTGTCTGACTGTTCCTGGTACACGGCAGAAGAATTTCTTAGATTTCAATTCTGTGAAAATTGGTTGGCATTTTAATAAAACAAAGAGTTGCTTTATAATTACACCCGAAACGAATTACCCATTAAAGAACAATAGTAACTGAGTGTCCCACCTCCTTCGTTAATTAGCCACTCTTCATTTTGTCTCAAAAAGACTTTCTCGCTGTAAACAGCGATTATGTCCTTAAACGGCGTTAACCAATCGATCTTTTGTAATGGTGAAGATAAGTGTTTTCTTCGCGGTACGGACTGAATTATTAAATAGTATTTAGACGAGCTTCGGCTGCAAAGGGCCACTTCGGTGGGCATTATTCCCTTCAAAATTCTCTAATGGTGGGCATTATTCCCTTCAAAATTCTCCGTACTGTGGAAGTCCTTCATAATCTGACCCCGTGGTTTTATAAAATGACTAATTAATCCATCGTTTATAAATGTACACTGAATTACTTATGTCGCGGTCCGCAGACAACCGTCCGGGCCCGTCCAATCTGGGCAACGTGATCAGCCAGATCCTCCTGTGTAAGCAGATCACTCCGGACTTCAAGCAGGAGGAGCTGTGTTCCATCACCAAGGACTCGCAGGACATCCGCAAGATGGTTCAGGACATGCAGGAGTTCATGCCGCGGCAGGAGAACAGCACTGGTCTGTACACCCGCGTCTTTTCTCTCTTGCCTCTTGTTCTAGCTTTTAATCGCTTGTCTCCTCTCTGAGCCAATTTTCAGCTCGTCTTATGACGTAACTTCCGCTTAGCGCCAAATCGTGACAAGCTCTGGACACCGACAATGACGACTCGTGTTCAGGGCTTGGAGCAAATTTTGTCTTTCGATCGCTCAACAACTCCATTTCATATCCGGAGATGTCGCAAGCGAGAATCCGTTCTGCACACGTAATCGTTACCAGACGCTAATCCTCGCACGGTGCTGATTGCAGAGCGGAACCAGGCCCTCATCGGAGATGACGCCGGAGGCCAGCAGTGGACCATGAAGAATCGGAGTGCCTCGTTCTACAAGAACATGGGCAGTTTCTGTTGCATCTGTCGCCCCAACTACGTGTGATGTGGGGCGGAGTCGCGGGCCAGCATCGGACAAGACGCCGCTTAAGACTCGACTTCCTGACCGCAGTACTTCGCCCCCGTACCCGATAACGCGCCGTTAGAGTGGGAAATTCCTTATAACGAGTAGGCGTGCCTGTGAAAACGGTGGATTAGTGAGTAACAAACGGTGACCGACCAAGAACACAGCTCGCTCTGGACTCGTTTCTTACTCTGCAGGGTGGAGCCTCGTTATAAAAGAGATTCTCACACACC